CATTCCATTGTCAGGTCAAGAGGACTGGAATGGAGCTGTGAACTTACTGGAATCTACCATCTCTGACTTTCTGCTGAAATTCTTCAGGCCTCAAACATTTGAGACGGCCACAGATGCTAAGCAGCCCACCCCTGCCTTCCTTCTGTTTAATCAAGTAGTTTCTTGAGTAGTCATTACCGAAGGGGAAGGTTGTCAGTCATTAAGCCATTGTTTCAGTGGTCATGACTGCTCGGGGCGGTTTGGTGTGCAGGAAGGAGCCGATGTATAGAAATCAAACATCAAACATTCAGCTCAAGGATCAAAGCCGCACTTGATGACAGTCTGTAGGATACAGTTGCTGTGTATGCAAGCACAGCTTCTTGAATAGGGAAACATAGTATTGCACTATTGCACTTGCATTTTCTAGAATAAAAAACATTTATACATTTACCAATAGGACAGGGTTTCCAGTCCTGCTCCTGGAGGGCCAACATCCTGCAGAGTTCATTTCCAACATTTCCTAGAGGTTCAGGTGTGTTTAACTGGGGCTAGAGTGGCCCTCCAGGAGCAGCGTTGGGCCTTTCAAGCTGCTATAATGTTTTGTTGAAATTTCAGCCATTCCTTAAACTACAAGAAGTTGTCAGCGCCCCATAGGGCCATTGCGCTACGGGTGTCCCAAGTTTGGATCCCGGCTCATGGACCTTTCCCGATACCGCCCCCTCTCTCTCTCCCACTTTACTTTCTTACTCACTATCCTATTAAAATAAAAGGCAAAAATGCCAAAAAAATGAATCTTATAAAAAACTACAAGTCAACTTTGTTTCATATTGCACAACTTTGACAAAAAAAGGGATTTTTATGTTTTGTAATATGTGCAAAGCTAGCAAGCTATACCAAGAAGTTGTCAGCGCCCCATAGGGCCATTGCGCTACGGGTGTCCCAAGTTTGGATCCCGGCTCATGGACCTTTCCCGATACCGCCCCCTCTCTCTCTCCCACTTTACTTTCTTACTCACTATCCTATTAAAATAAAAGGCAAAAATGCCAAAAAATGAATCTTATAAAAAACTACAAGTCAACTTTGTTTCATATTGCACAACTTTGACAAAAAAAGGGATTTTTATGTTTTGTAATATGTGCAAAGCTAGCAAGCTATATCTCAGTTTCCAAAAATACTGCATTGCATAGACGCCAATTTTATCATAAATAGTGGTTTATTACAATGACTTTCAACACATGCAGCCAAACCAATACCCCTTTTTTTCAACTAAATGGACCAAAATTAGTAGGGATGCACAGAAAATTCGGCCGCCGAAAATTATCGGCTATTTTTGGCCGAAAGAGAAAAATGGCCGAAAATACGAGCCGAAAATATACATATAATAATATATATGGCGCGTTCCACCCCGCCCGGCAGTGTTCAAGCGCACAGGTTTCACTCTCCTCGTCATTGCGCGGTTTGACGCTCCACTCAATATTCCACTCTATGAATGTGCTCGTGCACCGCTCATGCTCACCGGAAAAGCAAAGCCCGCTCAAATAACGCGGTGACAGGAAATGTCTATGCAGTACTTGTTCCTGTTTGCAGTAGCGCTACTGTGCTGTAACATGGTGTAGTACAGCTGTATTGGGCAACGCTTGTAAAATTATGCTTTTAGTGATGCTGTGCTCTGCTCACATGCTGATAATAATAGCTTAGGACTATACATTATTTGGATAATTAGTCCAAAAACAATTTATATCTGATTCTGTTACATAGAATTGAATAAAAATAATATATTGATATTTAATATTAAGGTAACACTTTACAATAAGGTTCCATTAGTTAATATTAGTTAATGTATTAGAGTTTATTACAGTATTATTACAGTATATTAATCTTTGTTAGTTTTAATCATAATACAGTTGTTCACTGTTAGTTCATGTTAATTCAGAGTGCATTAACTGTTAACAAGCACAAATGTTGATTTTAATAATGCATTATTAAATGTTGAAATTAACATTAAGATTAATAAATAGTTTATACCAAGTCAGGCCTAGTGAGACTGACTTGGTATAAAGGGGATTAAAAAATGAGGAGTGGGTGGATTTTTATCATTGTAGGGGGGTTGTGTTGTGGTTGACATAGAATTGAATAAAAATAATATATTGATATTTAATATTAAGGTAACACTTTACAATAAGGTTCCATTAGTTAATATTAGTTAATGTATTAGAGTTTATTACAGTATTATTACAGTATATTAATCTTTGTTAGTTTTAATCATAATACAGTTGTTCACTGTTAGTTCATGTTAATTCAGAGTGCATTAACTGTTAACAAGCACAAATGTTGATTTTAATAATGCATTATTAAATGTTGAAATTAACATTAAGATTAATAAATAGTTTATACCAAGTCAGGCCTAGTGAGACTGACTTGGTATAAAGGGGATTAAAAAATGAGGAGTGGGTGGATTTTTATCATTGTAGGGGGGTTGTGTTGTGGTTGTGTCCAAACACCATGTAAAAGTGGATTTTGCATAATAGGTGCCCTTTAAGTGTCTTATATGTGGGGAGTCCGTAGCAGTTTTGGTTCGACTACCTGTGCAACAAAGCTTTTTGGAAGTGTCATATTTTAATATGGCAGTGCTTATGGGTCGTTTCAGATGGAGCACAATCTGTGTGACTCCACCACCAGAGGCAGGGTAAAATCATGAGCCTTGCTTTTCCTTTGGGTGTGTATGTTTACAGCTTGGCTCCAACGCATTGTCAGTTATAGTAGTGAAAGGCGTTGGCTGCTCTTTTGTAGTTGAACATATAATTGTGTACTTTTGATATAAGCAGTCAGTGGTTGCCTAAATTTAGTGTTTTCTTTCTTTCTTTTTTTTTAAAAGACTCTCAAGTTTACAAGCTTCACTCCACAGAAATGAGCAGAAACCTGAAGTCGGCTTTACAGTTCAACAAAATCCTTGATTGTGCAGAGTTGAACAAAAATGGCCAAAAGCATTCTTGTGGTGGGAAACCCGTTATGCTTTATGCCTGCCAGTTTTGGCATAAAACAATAAGTAGTTATTTTCAGTCTTACCAGTGTGGTAACCGAAGAGGAGGTGCTTTTTCTTGCTCATAAACTGCATTAAAAATAACTTGAATAAACATTTTGCACATGAATGTTAAAGAGAGTGTTTTTTTTGTTTTTTTTAGTACGACCAGTGTAATCAGGTTCACTAACAAATTACTCGTTTTAGCATGTTCTTTTTAATGAAATGGTCAAAAAACTCAAAGTACAAAATTAGTGGTTAATGGATTGTCACAATCTTAACCAAAATTGTTTATTTCCCTAGGTTTTCCATCTTTAAGGAAGAGCCCTTGCTTTACTTCAAAGCTTCTCATTATGTATGGCAGGTAACTAGGTTCTATTGAGACCATGTCAATTAACTGGTCCTGTGGATTGAGGTTATAGAGCTTCACTTCAAAGGGTTTTTTTGTGTTTTGGTCACTCATTGCTGTGACAGCTTCATAATAAGGATGAGTGATGGATCGTCACTGTGACTCCACATCGTGGGTGTATCCAGTGTCTGCGTTCTAGGTCCCATTCTACCCCAAAGCCCCCACTGTCTTGAACTCTGACCTCGCCGAACTGGGCATACAAACACTGATTCACCTTTAGGCGGACACTGTGGGTTTCTGTGACGTTCCTGTGGTTGTGGTCTGGTTAAATTGTTTTGTCATTACTGGGAAAGATTCTGGAAATACAAAATGGAAGCTAGCGTGTAGATAGACATGTAGATTGAATAATGAAACATAATATTATCATGTAGCATGGAAAAGAATTTAGGCCACAAGTGAGATGGGAGATGTAGCATGTTTTTGTATCTTCTCACAGCATTCATTTGATATATCTCAATGCTTTTGTATTTATTCTGAAATTGCAAATTGTTTCATTATATTATTATAACAAATCCCCCATGGTAGATTACACATTTTTGAGCAAAACTTGAAAAAAAATCTCTTTCAGAAGATGTTTTTTGAAGATTAATAGTTTTTTAAAAATTGCAAAAATATGTTTTACAAAAGCATTTACATGCACTGTGAAACATGCCACACTGAGATGTCTTCATTTTGACGGATAAAGCAAACATTTTATTGTATCAGGGTTTTGAAGTATTGGCTAATGGTCTTGAGACACTGTCCATGTTTTGCAGTGACAGAATAGTCTCCCTTGAGGGCCACAATTGCTGAAGATCAAAGACCAAAAGATCACTATTGAGTGGTCTATTATTTTCCATCCTCCTGCCAGTTTAACGCCTCCTGAGCTGGCTAGTGAGGTCAGGCAGAGGTCAGAGGTTAATGAAGTGCCCTTTGTTGTTCACAGGATGAGACAGTGTTATTTAGTCCTGTATCTCCTAGTAAGCTAACAGGAATCTCCAGAGGTCCTCAGACCGTCTCATCAGTCTGGATTCCAGACTCCCTCTGGGGCTCTCATGGGAAGGACCAATGTAAACTGCCTAGCAGCGACTCAAAAGTTTAACCTAAAAGTTAAAGTGAGCAGTTTGTCATTTCTGCACTGCTGGTGGCATTTTCCATAGCAACCACCCAACACTACCTAGCAAGGACTACATAAACTTCAGACTCCTCTCTTCAAACTGTCCAGTTTTCTAGTTACAGGTTGTTGTGCAATTCAAGTGAATATGCCAGTGTTTCTGTACATTGGACTTGATGGTTCATACATGCTGATGAGAGTTTATATGAGAGCACTGTAACCTCACACGATTATATAGACACATTCCGCAGCGTCCAGTGAATGAACAAACAGCCCTCTCATTTGCTTCATCTGACACATCAGCTATGAGCTTTTAGTACAAGAGTGAAGCTGGAGAAGGGAATTCATACTGAATCGACTGAGGTTGACAGCCATGCTGCTGTGATGTGTGTGTGTGTATATATATATATATATATATATATATATATAAGCCCCAGCATCTTGATTGTCTTCATGTGAAGCTGACTTTTGTGTTCTGTGTTCTTTCTCTTGTGTCGTAGAGTTACTGGGCTCCACAAAGAGGCTGAACATCAACTATCAGGATCCAGACGGGTGAGTCATTGTTGTGTTGTGGGTGAATCTCATAAGAAATCAGGTCAATAACATAATAGCATAATAATCAGGTCAAAACACAGACATTCTGAAGTGTGCAGCCAGTCAACACTTTCCCATAAGGTCACAAGAACTGAGAAGTCATCTGACTAGAAAAGCTGCCAGAGAGCTATATGTTTCTTGTTTAATGTCACCCCAGTGTACTGGTATTATTGCTAGTATATCATAGTTTAAGGAGCACTGAGGTCAAAAGACAATGCCAGCATGGCAGATAGTATGCCTTGGAATATGTTCATAACACACACCTGCTCAATGGATGAGACGTTCCTCATAAAATAATCTGAAAATACATAATTTTGCATGCAAAGGTAATGTCATAGTTCAATGAGTTCTTAATGGTTCAAAAAATAACAAAATATAATTTTGGTAACACTTTAGTATAGGGACCAATTCTCACTATTAACTAGTTGCTTATTAGCATGCCTGTTATTAACATATTGGCTTTTTATTAGTACTTATTCTGCATGACTATATTCAACATATCTAATCTTACCCAACACCTAAATTTAACTACTACCTTACTAATTATTAATAAGCAGCAAACTAGGAGTTTATTGAGACAAAAGTTGTAGTTAATGGTTTGCTAATAGCAAGAATTGGACCTTAAAATAAAGTGTGACCATAATTTCTAATATCTTAATTTGATGTTGGCGTGAAATATGTTTTGATATTTACATTGCCAAGGCTGAATTAAAAGAGAGGCAATTTTTTTTTGGAATATTATTACAATGTTTTCAATTTGAATATATTTTAAATGTAATTTATTCTTTTGATGCAAAGCTACATTTTCAGCATCATTACTCTAGTCTTCAGTGTCACATGATCCCTCAGAAATCAGTCTAATTTGCTAATTTGCTGCTCAAGAAACATTTCTTATTATTATTATTATCAATGTTAAAAAAATTGTGCAGCCCATTATTCAAAGAATCCTGAAAAAAAATGTGTCATGGTTTCCACAAAAATAAACAAAAGAACAGCATTTACTTGAAACACTAAGGATTTGTAACATTATAACATTGTCTTTACTGTCACTTTTGATCAAATGAATGTGTCCTTGCTTCATTGCTGCATTAATTTCTTTTAACATAATAAATAAATAAATAGGGATTCCAAAATGTTGAAAGGGAATACAAATGAGCTGCTCATGTTCTCTCCACTGACAGCGTCACATCCTCGTCCCGTCACTTGAGAGTGTCAGTATGATCATGTGCAAGCATGTCGACTTCCTGTGTGATTTATCATCCCAATTTGATTAGTTTTGAAATTGACATGAAAGCTTTTGCAAGTTGTTGAATCAGACTTCTGAGTCAGCACATTGTATAATGCTAAATTGCTATAAGTGTCCTCTCCACGCACCTCTAACTTCTTAGTCAAACCTCTGAATTACACCCCTCTGTAAACTTTTCATAATAAGGTTTCATGTCTATGATACATTTTTCACTTGGCTTTATTATATTGAATTGTGTGGCCATTATATCTAATCATATTTTTTTGAACACTCTGTTAAGTTGTGTACTTTCATGTAAGCTTTTTAACTTTTTAATGTGCAAATTTCCCCAGATGCCTTGAAATAACTCATCAGTCTTTGCTAAAATGATCATGTTTGGCCAACTTCATGTACACAGTGTGCTACAAGCTATTAGCCTTAAAAGCAGTGTTTATAAGACTGAATACTTTGAGCCAGATGCTTTATCTGTGTCTCGTCTTAAACTGACCACTATCGTTGTTCACACAGTCCATTAAAACATGCTATGCCAACAGTGTCTTTGAGATAAGATGGGCCTCTCACAGGGCTGTAAAATGGTACATTGACCTCATATATTAAAGTTGTGACATTTAGGTGCTTGTTTTTGGGTGCCCTGATACATTTTTCACTTGGCTTTATTATATTGAATTGTGTGGCCATTATATCTAATCATATTTTTTTGAACACTCTGTTAAGTTGTGTACTTTCATGTAAGCTTTTTAACTTTTTAATGTGCAAATTTCCCCAGATGCCCTGAAATAACTCATCAGTCTTTGCTAAAATGATCATGTTTGGCCAACTTCATGTACACAGTGCGCTACAAGCTATTAGCCTTAAAAGCAGTGTTTATAAGACTGAATACTTTGAGCCAGATGCTTTACCTGTGTCTCGTCTTAAACTGACCACTATTGTTGTTCACACAGTCCATTAAAACATGCTATGTCAACAGTGTCTTTGAGATAAGATGGGCCTCTCACAGGGCTGTAAAATGGTACATTGACCTCATATATTAAAGTTGTGACATTTAGGTGCTTGTTTTTGGGTGCCCCATCTCTCTGTCATAAAGAAGAGAAAGGGGGGTGGGCCAGTCGAGGGGTCAGAGATGGCCATTCGTGGATAAGGACCGTAACGAATTAGATAGGAGTGTTTACAAAGCACCGAACAGCCATTATTGAGGCCGGATGGGAAAGGCCAGAGGAAAACAGGGAATGATGGATGAAGATTTATGGGAGTTGTTGAGTGCTGATTTGTGCTTTCTTATATGGCTGGTGTGAACAAATCTGCTACTATATGGCATTAAAGCACTATAAACAGATAACAGAAAATAATCAAGATAAACTCTCGGGTTAGATTGGCTGACATCTCAGGTCTTTAAAGTGGTCCACTCTTAGTTTGAACCAGATGCATCAAGTCACGTTGTTTTATTTTGTTTTGATAAGTTGGCATTGTATCTACTGACCGGGTTTTGTTATATAACATCTCTATTTAATGGAAATGTACTGACAGAAGAGGAAAACAGGAAAAGGGGCAAAAGGATGTAGTTTTGACCTCATATATTAAAGTTGTGACATTTAGGTGCTTGTTTTTGGGTGCCCCATCTCTCTGTCATAAAGAAGAGAAAGGGGGGTGGGCCAGTCGAGGGGTCAGAGATGGCCATTCGTGGATAAGGACCGTAACGAATTAGATAGGAGTGTTTACAAAGCACCGAACAGCCATTATTGAGGCCGGATGGGAAAGGCCAGAGGAAAACAGGGAATGATGGATGAAGATTTATGGGAGTTGTTGAGTGCTGATTTGTGCTTTCTTATATGGCTGGTGTGAACAAATCTGCTACTATATGGCATTAAAGCACTATAAATAGATAACAGAAAATATTCAAGATAAACTCTCGGGTTAGATTGGCTGACATCTCAGGTCTTTAAAGTGGTCCACTCTTAGTTTGAACAAGATGCATCAAGTCACGTTGTTTTATTTTGTTTTGATAAGTTGGCATTGTATCTACTGACCGGGTTTTGTTATATAACATCTCTATTTAATGGAAATGTACTGACAGAAGAGGAAAACAGGAAAAGGGGCAAAAGGATGTAGTCGAGCTCACTCAGAGTGTATGTAACACAATCATGCAGAGACCTGTATCGCTTATTAATGGGAATAAAGTACATAGACTCACCCGTGTGTAGGCAGAGGCTTCAGGCTGTCTGGAATCTGAATCTTGCAAAATATGCAACATATTTGGGTCATACAGTACTCTCCGAAATGAAAAAGAAAAAATATTGGTAACACTTTATTTTAAGGTGTCCCTGTTGCACGTTACATATACTTACTATTATATTAACAATTAATTATGCATAATTACATGCAAGTAACCCTAAGCCAAATCCTAACCCTAACCATATAGTAAGTACATGTAGTTAATTACTATTACTCAGTACTTAAATGTATACTTACACTGTAACAAGGGAACCTTAAAATAAAGTGTAACCAAAGTATTTTATATAATGTTATACATAAAAAATGTATTTATACAAGGATATCGCATTACAATTAAGAACCTTTCTCAAACAATTTTCAAGACTGTAATGCAAAAGTAAATGTTTTTATTTATTTTATTTTTAACAATTTGTTAGTATTTGTTTTATTAAATAATATTTGTATTTATGCTGATTAAACATGTTGCAATTGTAGTATTTTTCTAATCATGTAGTCAAAATTGCAGTAATTAGAGTCTAAATTGAAAATAACAGAATTACAAAAAAAGAGAAAAAAGTCAAACATCTGTAGAGATTTTTTTGGTCAAAATGAAAATGATACTCTGTATATATATATATATATATATATATATGGAAAGTTACTTTTGAAAGTAGTGCATTACAACATTGCATTACACCATGAAAAGTAACTAATTGCATTACTTAGTTACTTTTTATGGAAAGTAATGCATTACGTTACTTTCACATTACTTTTTTGTCACTTAGGCTGGACTCGCTTAGTATTTATTTTTAAAAAACCCAAAAGTTATATTTTTGGCAACTGTAAAGGCCCTTTCACACAATAAGTGAAATTATTAAGCGTCAGGCTAAAGGAAGTGCCTCAGCACATTGCTCCCAATTTCTGTCAACAGAGTTATAGGAGAGGTGTCAGTGAATAAATATGAAAACAAAGTAACTTGCATTGCTTATTTGAAAAAGTAACTCATATATTTTGTTGTAAATTTATAGGTAATGCATTACTTTAGTAGTTACTTGAAAAAGTGATTACTTTTTTCAGTAATCTGATCTGATTACACTGTGTGTGTGTGTGTGTGTGTGTGTGTGTGTGTGCGTGTATTAGTGCTGTCAAAATTAGTGTGTTAACGCAATTTTCCATTTTAAAGGCGTTAAATATATATAACTCAGTTAATGCAGGGGCAGGGCTGGGGTTGGCCACCCCACTTACTACAACTGCTTCTGTCTCTTTTTTTTCTTGACAAAAATTGCATTTATTTAGACGCGCAAAATGTCTTTACGACCACGTCAAACGGGAGACGTTTCAGATGCACACTCCGCTTCGCCTCAGCGCCAGGTGCAAGTCAAACGAGCATGGAAAACAGTACAGGTGACGAGGAGCTTCAGTACAACAACAGTGAACTACGCTCGTATGAGATATTTTGAGGACATATGTCAGTAAAAATGAAATTTGCTGTCCTGTCTGCTGT